TGTGGGAGAAATCAAACATGTACCTGTGAGCGTTAACTCAGAAATTTTGATTAGTAAGTGACCCATACGGACCGAATAAACTCATTGAAGCTTTATATGGAATTACAGATCACATACTCAAACGCTTGAGATCCTTACCTTTTGTCAACAATCTGACTCCATAGCTCATTTGTCTCAGACAAGAGAGAGGGATCCTTTTCCAGCAATCTAGCAATCATACCGCTTCGATAATCTTCAAAGGATTCATCATCGAGTTGTTTCTGCAATTACAGCCCGAGTAACATTTGTGGGGAGGTGGGAAAAAGCTAAATAAAACACAGATGTTTTCTTTTTGATTACAAACTTACCAGCAGCCCTTCGATGTCTTTTATGAAATTCTCGACTCTCCCGAGCAAATGAACTGGACCGTACTTAGAAGATTGAACACAGAAACAGAAACCGTGGACACGATACGTTAAGCGAGGGCCACACTCAACAACATAACCTAGCTGCTCCTTTGTCCTATAACCAAAATCGCATATATGACTATACATATTACGATCTATGAAAACAAACGAGGGAAACATGTAATGCGATGGCTAACCTCAACTGATTGAACAATGGCTCTTCTATGATTTCATGAAAGAGATCTAGCAAGGCTTTCATCCTTGTTGATTGAGCTTCTTCAGGCTCGATTTGATAGTAAAGCTGCAAAATACGATATTCGTAACCATGACTATAAACCTACTATAGTTTCTTCTTGACAAACTCTCATCACTAGAATAAACAACTTTCTTTTTACCTCAACTACTGAGTTTGTTTCAGATTTGTTCTTCACATTGACATCTCTTACAAGTTTGGCACTCAGAGGGAAACACGTTATCTGCTCTCCATGTCTACATTTGCTTGGGAGCGGTTCAACGGTCAAACTGTTTTTGAATATGTTTGATATGTTTACTGCTTCGTCTTCCGTCAAATTACCATGACATAGAGCCTCAATAAATATCTGCCAACAAATCAAAAGTTTACCTAAGCTTTGCCCGATTTAAACAAAACCAAAACATTCACAAAGGCAAGTAGTCGTATTAAGTAAAGGGGAAATCACATTAAAATGGGTTGATGCAGAATGTTACCTGAGAACGGACTTCAGGAATAAAGCTGTTGAGATCAGTGAGAGACAAATCATTTAGTACAGACAACTTCTCGTCACTGTCGTAGATTCGTTTACACAAGAGTTGTAGTCTCAAGTATGTGGAATGGTTCAATGGCTTCATATTAGTATTTCTAAACCCTCTCTCCATGTTTTCTTTGATAACCTGCAAGGTTACATAGAGAAGGTAGTTGGACCTTAAAAGACTGGAGAAAAAGAAATTGTCACAAAATTTGAAGTTCAACAGTGAATGAGAATATAAGTATGACAAGTATAAGTGCAAATATTCACATACCTTAAACCGATCCAGGGTTGGCATGAAGGATTTGGCTATGGCTAAGATTTTTGATAACAGAGCTGGAATCTTTTCATTAAAGCCGTAAACTTTAAGCTCTAGTTTATCACCATACATAGATAAAGAAGTTTCAAGTTTTGCTATACTGGCCTGCAAAAGATCAGATATTCATGTCAATACAAAACAAAAAAACATATATAAAGATCTTCCTAAAGAGTAGTTACTTGCCTGGTATATGATCTCATTTAGCTCGTCTTTCAGAAGGTTAATAAATAATTCCGTCAAAAGGCAGTTCTTCACACTGTCATATGCCCCTTTGAGATTTATGCGGAAGTATGTATTTGCACGAGGAACCTTAAATGTTTCATCAAGCTTGTACCAGAACTTCATGAACGGTTCGTCAATTATACACTGAGGAGGAGACTGACTTTTGGGATCCTCATCAGAGTTAATGGCTCGGATGGAAAAATTACAAGGGATGAATTCGTTTTTCGTAGGAAGATGCAAAGAGTTATCTACTTCCGAAGGGTTGCTCCATGTTTCCATCAAAGACAATGGAACATCTTCCTCGATGAAACGAGAGCCGAACCAAGGCTCATGTTGGAACTCTGAAAAAGGGTGATTTCAAAAGAAAGATAATAAGAATATAAAAATATACAAACCAAGAGTTACATACCCAGTGAATCTTTAAAATACCTTCTGACTTGATGGATTTCGAAACAACATCAATCCTCATGTTTTTTGGTGTGAAGAAAGCCATGAGATCTTCTATCATTTTTGGATCCCAGGTCTGGTATACATAATCACCATAAATCACGTGCTCCACCGGATAAGCAAGCAAATTCTCTGTACAATAATACTTTCATAAGTTATGTACTAAAACCCATGATGGAGATTTACATCATATCACATGTATACATAAATGCATGAGGAGTTCTGAATATATATAGGCTTTACATGTCAACATAATATGCTAACCACTACTAACACCTTAAAAGATTCACTCAAAAAGAACTAGAAGAACCACTATATAAGCACAAACCTGAGAGCTCAGCAGCATAATCATCTGCCGCCTGCTCCTCAGCATATCTGAAGTCCATGTTCCCAATATCTTGGAGTTCTTTGAATATCCATTCTTGTGGTGATACATCACGCAATAACTTGAGATATTGATAGATGTAACCAATGATGTCATAAATCTGTTAACAAAAGATGTCATGAGGTTAAAATGAAAATGAGTAACACAACAAAAGTAAATAGTACAAGAACGAGACTATATGCAGCAAGCAACAAGCTATGTCATCTTGTCAACAAAAAAAATCAAATAAGAAACCACTAAAGAGATTACTTGGAAAATCAGAGACAAAGGGCTTATATATATAATTGAAAATGATTGAATTAACCTCTCAGTCAAACGAGTTAAGAAAAAAAAAATTTAAATATCTGTCAAGTTACCTTCTCTAAACCAGAGTCAGTGAGATGGATGGACATGCCAAAAACATAGGCTAGAGACGAGCGGTTACTTCCATCATCCCCAACACCAGCAGACAGCGAGGTTGCCCATCCCTTACCTTTGAGGAATGAATGCAGACTTCCTCTACCCTCTAAGAAACACAATATTTGTAAACAACATTCTTCAGTAAGCAGTTTGCATGAGTGATGCACAAGCCCACTTGAATAAAGCTCTACGTAAAAGATAAAAGGTGATTTCTCACCATGTCCTAATAGATGTGCTAGATAATCTTCCGGCTTCTTCACATAGGCATGGCGAAGAGGAGGGAGAGTCCATGTCAAATCAAGAATATGAACATCTTTAACCGCTTCTAGACGATATAATTTACCGCCTTTCCAAATAGGACCTTCTGCCTCCAGAGCTGGCCTGATTTTGGATCCGTTTTTGACATTACCAAATAATTCTACGACCCAACTTTCAAGCACATCGAGAGATTCTGCAGAATTTCAAAGGTAACCAACCATTTAGGAATGAATAGAATGTTTTTTCCAAGAATCAAAGCCAAATATATCATAAACCAAAGGATTTTACCTCCTCCAATGACAACGAGCTTCATCAATCCACCGTGATAATATTCCTTGTATAGGTTCATAATGCATTCCCGTAGATCAACCCCATTTTCGATTGCACTACTCAAGCTCTTCTTGTTACCTTCCAGAGCACACAAAGGACAGATTAACACTAAATTTTTCAAGAAATATTAAGTGTGGCAAGAAAGGTATACTGAGATAAACTTACCCCATGCGAACCTATTTAAAGGATGACCCTTTGTAGATGTATAGCACTGAAATTGTTGCAGGCGACATGCATCATTTTGGAGGGCCTGGTTAAATTCTATAAGTTTGATTCTTGTTAGCAATGCACTTTTAACTTTATGAAAAGGTTAATTTATCTGAAAGTTGATTGGAGATAGATCTTTTGATAATTTCTAACAAATCAAAAAGGGAATGATTAACAGGCAAGAGAAACCTGAATCAACAGCAAGGACTTCTCGTTCCATAGCTTCACTCTTCATGAGTGGTGCAACAAAAAACTGAGAAAACCTAATAACAAGAGAACAATCTAAGTCAGATAAGCCTTCCAAAGAACAAAAATGAAAAGGCTAGCAGTAAGCTCAGTTATCGCCTATAGAAGATGTTTTACCGCAAATGTTGTACGTAAAATGCAAATCACATATTAGGGAGCTATTTAAGTTGAAGGAGCAAGAGGGGTAAATAGAACTATGCATCCTTTACTATATCATCACAAAACTGAACATGACAACAAATTCTAGGCATGGATACAGACACATATATAGCTTGCCTTAGTAAATTAACAGCCATTCACATTTAAAAATATAAGTGAAGTTGGCAGCTCAAACAAATTATGTACCTTTTCAAGGCACCTTGAAGGAATTCTCTCTTGACTTCAAAGTGATAGCAGGTATGCTCCATTTCTGTGTAGGCGTTAGAGGATCCTCCATGCTTAGACAAGTAACTATCGTACTACAAGCAAAAAAAGAGTCAAACCCTGAAGAATTCAAAGATACACATGCTAACAAAACAAAGCCCTTACTACAATATTAAAAAGATTTTGATCATCATCCATTATCCTAGCTCATTAAAAAATCTCGGTTATATATAATCATGATAATTGGGTTAGTTTCTATATTCAAAGATACAATTTATTTTTCTAGTTACCAGAATAGTTCATTTCATATGAATCTATAAATAGTGCAAACCCACTGCAAACATAGAAAATAACGCCATGCTTACTTCATTCTCATCGGGGAACTCGGTGCTACCCATAAAAAGCATGTGTTCTGTACAAAACATAAACATGAGAGTGATTCAATACTAAGAAACAAAAGAAAGTGAATGCAAACAGTAATCCAAACTCATAGAAAGATGGAAAATACCAAGAAAGTGAGCTAGGCCTTGCGCCTCCGGTGGATCCAAGAAGCTTCCCATTGCAACACACATAGCTGCAGCTGCCTGAAACACACAACACAAAAACATAGAACTTCAAAATCACAATTGGTAAAATCACAAAATTAAGCTGATATAGCTTAAAGCCTTGAATCAAAACCTTTTTGGTCTGATGATCCCCTTTCCCTTTGA